TCTTACCCGCTCAAAATCTGTGTACGTTTGCAGCACTTGGAATTTTTTTTTGGGCTGCAAAACAGTGGGCGTTCATAATAATATATTGGTCTGCAGGTGCAAGTGTTCGCAATTGTACCTGACCCAACCTAGCCCTCGTCACCGTAAAACCTTTAATCCGTGTTCTCTAACAGACACGATCAATGGCATATTAACGTGGGGGGAGGACTTTCAGATATACCCCCCCCTTGATATATTTTTTACTTAATATAAAGGTATAATGTCATTTTTTTTATATTTGTGATGAAATAAGATAATACATAATATACAGAATATAACCATTGAAAATGTTACTCGTAATTATAAAATTGAATATTGATATATTAAGTATTTGATAATATTATGGTAGATGTCCACATAATTCAAACACTTTTAAATGTCAAATGTGATTGAAAACGTTTCGTATCGTAAAATATTGTTAATCGTTATTATTGTCAATAATTATACGGCTGAACCATGTATCTGCCAATGAGAGTTTGGCTGCTATTTTAAAGAAATATTTCGTAGATTTATAGTAAATAATAAAGATAAACATTATATGATATTTGAATATTCAACGACTCGTTTAGTATTTTTAAGTTACAATGTGTCAAAAATTTAAAACATATTGCAGGACAAGGGCAAGTATTTAATTGGTATGTTATAAGTTATACTTAATTTGCAATCATAAATATAAATTTTCGTTTGACGTTCTAAACAATTCCAATAATAGAACAGAAACAAATAACAATCAAATTGAAACACTAAAGTACGAATTATTTTTCTCATTTATTATTGCATTATTTTATTTTTATAACACTATACTCATTATAATCGTACACTAGCACAAGTGCACTACTCATTACTCGAACGGGTGTTATTACTTGTTAGGTACTAGTTAACTTATAATTGATGTTCGATTGTTCGAGACTTTGAGTAGATAGTTAAACTTAACTAAATTTTATTGTGATTTTTGTTTAAATTTAAACGGTTTCTTAAAAATTCTATGTCCTAGCTAGATAATATCAACCCTCAACATTTTTTAAAAACGTTGGTGACGAGAGTGTGCAACCTCTCCCCAGTCCCCGCCCCTTATTCAACAGATTACTTACTTTTTGAATATTTTATACTTTAACCACACTGTATCAAAAAAAAAAAAAAAATTCGTTATTCCGTAATGTTGTATTTTATCGTTTTAGGATAATCCAAGCGAATAACATTTTAAATGATAATGATTCCCAGTTTAAATAAGTCGAACACCCTCGATGCGGTTGCTCGACTCAATTTAGAATAATAATTAACACGAATAGTTCCATAAAATGTATTTTCTAAACATTCACCTCAGGTAATGGTTTCGCGTTTTTATGATAATTTTTCGGGTAAGGAATGCCTACAATATTTTACATAATAAATTATACCGGTAAACAGTAAAATGAGCTAAAACATTATACAGATGATTATATACAGATTATTTGTTAAATAAATGTCAATCGATACCTATACTCGTTTGTTATCCGTCGTCCCATTACCATAGACGATCGTTAGGTAAGTCTAGTATACGTGAAAAGGATAAATACTTTTTAGTTTAAAATTTATTTTATTAACATATCATACGTCTGCATGTTTTATTGACTGTTTGTCCCTTTATATATATATATATATACATTATAAATATTCCAAATGCGTATACAGTACTGCACAAATGTTTTTAACATACAGGTACATCAAAATATCATTATGATGACTCGTTTGCTGCAATATTTAATATCAACATTCAATGGAAAAAACAAAAATGATTCAAATATGCGACAAAAGCAATTTATATATTTTTACATTTTATTATTATTATGAAGCTGTAAACAATATAGTATACCTACATCATTATTTTTTTTTATTGGTTCAAGTTACAAATAATTTAGCAACAAATGTTAAATTAGTAAAATTATATATAAATTCTATAAACTTACTTGCTATTTAAATTTGTATAAATTGTCTTTACATTAGATATGGTTTTTATATTTATGGATTAGATTATATTTTTTTGTCATTATAAACAATGATAAGTTATATTAAGAAGCTTTTGTATAAGCTAGTTTGATTTTACAATTAGATTCAAGTGTGATGTCAAGATTTTGAGATACTCTGTGTACGATCCAAATAACTGATTTCAAGCGTATTTTAAACAGTCTGAAGTGAATAAAAAAAACAATGCGTTTAACGGAGATATCTGTTCTTGAGGTACATGTTTGACATACAGGGTAGTCCCCTTATAGTTATCAAGAATCCACGAGTGACTCTGATATGATCTATATATAATATATATTATTATTATTTACTCATTTATAATTGAAAGTATTTTTACAATGCATAGGTTTATAAAAAAATGTCCAAGTATGGCAAACGGGTTCTAAGCTCGGTGGCGGAGGCGTTCACAATAAGACAATAGTGCCGACAATGTTTCCCCATACACAGTTTGTACACATCTGTATCTGTGGATGCATAACTTGATATATTCATGAAGTTAAGTAAAATACACGAAGAGTAAAGGCTCTAGAAATCTTTATTCTACGTGTTGAAATTAGTAGGTGATTGCTGTACGCTGTATAATGCCATAAAACGAGAAGCTTTTACTCGCTTTTACGATTATATACGGGACAGAGCTCTCATAATATATTATAAGCGCGAGCGTAGACTGTTCGAAAAAATGCATACGAAATATATACCGCGCTGGTTGTTGGGGTAGGAGAGAATAGTATAAACACTCGGCAATAGATATATGATAGCTACGAGAGTGTTTTTCGCGCGTAACGAAATGCCTCGGATATCCACAGTGTGTGTGTGAATATTGTATACATTGTGCAGTTACGTCTTGTAAAAGTTTACAGAATAGAATCTTATTTTCCCTCTGTTAAACCTCATATCCGTTTTCACGCGTGGTATTAAATGCCCAATACTTTTTTTCACTCCGAGCTTTTGTGTCTTATCGAGTTTGTACTCTGCGTACATAATATACCTAACCCATATACCTATTCTATGCCACGGTAGTTAAACTATTCTTTAATATTTCGATCGATAAAAATATTCGTTGCACATGAACCGCGCGCATTTAGAGTAAAATACGTAGTGATATTATATCATGTATCTATAAAGTTTTCTTATTATGTATTTAGTGTTTGAACATGCCGAATAGTAAATGTATTTTTAACGCTGTATTTGCGGCCAAATACAACACTAACAATCTAAAAGGAAAAGGGAAATCGTCAGCTAATCCAAGACGAATAGAACATCTTACTTAGAACATTATTTCAAACATTAATTTTTACTCGTGGTTCGAATAAGTTGTTTTAACCATAAATTCAAATATTTTATTTCTACCCCCAGTTCAAACAAACCGTTGAATTCTATCAGATTGATGTATTATTTAATTCACAAGGATTTTATTGTTGTTTTTCTTAGTCCTGTTATATACACGTATTTCTTAAGAGTTCGCGATTTTGCGTTTGTTATCATTGAACATTCACTGAAATAACGTTGTAAATATACCTATATTATATATCTTAATTTATTTTCATAATTAAAAATAAAACTCTCGACCTATCTATATGTGCTACTGGTTGCCCTAACATTTTATCTTAGTATTTTATAATACTTTTTAGTTTTTTAGAGACATTTTTTATATGAATGTATTAATTGTTGTACACTTTAGTATACATGGCACGATGTAACTACGCTTAAGAAATTAAGAATGTTTTTCTCGTGCCCCGTAGTCGTATTCAATTAAAATATTCGTTTAGCGATGGCGACGAATTAAAACCATTAATTTATTGAAAAATAGTCTAACGAAAAAATTAAAATACAAACAATTAAAACACAACGTGTTAACATGTTGCAATGTTTTATAACTTTTATAAATTAATATTTAATACATAGGTCAACCATCAACATGATATCCTAAAATTAATATGTACAACTGCAAAAAAATAAGAGTATGTCTTACAACTTACTGTAACTATGCTATTTGTCTTATAATTTACTATTCTACAATTAAACATAAAAAAAAATAAGTAATGATTTCACTTTTATTAAAAAACAGTAAATTAAATATTAATTACATATATTGTAATAGTGTTGCCGTAAAAATGTAATAGAAAGTAACGTATAACGTTTTTATTTTAAAAATAATATCTTCTACGAATACTGTAAACTATTATAATATATTCACAAAGCTTAAAATAAATTTTTCCGATAAATCGAATTGCAAATGGGTATAAAGCATCAATTTTATTATTATTGTCAACATTGTTAAGTGGTTTTGAAGATTATTCAAAATTTTTCAATATTTATCAATTTGCAATTCATTAAAAGATAATGCGTTTTCTTTAACTATTATACGAATTGGTTTTCGATGATTTTTATAGACTTTAAAGTTTAAATGTATGTGTAATGGAAGCTGGTATTGCTATGCTACATTTTTACGTGTAAAACGTGATTAACAAACAAAAACAAAATAAAACGAGAAAAGGTGAAATCAAAATTCAAGTCTGCGTTTCTTTTCTATGTATTCGCAAATAATGTAAATTTATATAATAATGGTGTACAATACATACCATACACATTCATATTATATGTTTATTGTTTATATATATGCCATATTATAAATGTTTTGAACAAACCTATTGTTAAGGTCCCGATTTTAGGGATATTCACCAGGGACTATAATATAATATTACATAGTGTTAATGTAGTATAATAATACTCAGGATGTATCATTTTAAATAAAAGACTTAGGATAGTATACGACATATGTATTGTGTCGTATGTGCTATATTGCGAAAGAAAATATTGCTGTTGTGTATTCAATCGATTCCATTTTATTATTAAATAAATTTTTTTATGTACATATAAGAACGAATTTTATATACGTAGTATAAAAAATATTTTACAGAAAATCGTAAAATAACAAACAGAATATATAATATACTTAATATTAAAAATAATTTAATTATAAAATAACAGCATACACTTTGAGCAAATTAATATTATAATCGTAAATCGTTGACACATCCATGGTTCATTCTGTACTCGATATACAAAATGCCAGTATTATGCCAGTAATATAACGCTATCACGACTAAGAAATGCCACCACTGATGTGATGATCCTATGTAGTCTAATTTACCTGAAAAAAAATTATTTAATTTATTAATAACAATTCAAAATACAATGAAACGTAGTTCAGATAAAGAACTGCTTAAAATAATGTGCCTTTATATTACACCTGATTATCGCACAATAAATAAAACGATTTATGTATACATGTTCTTATTTGTATCGATAATCGTTTGTGTGTGATTGTTAATATAATATTATGTCTTAATATATATTAAATATTTTTTACATCATATAAAATATGCTTTAAACACATAATAGTGAAAAAGAACTTAGATTCCCATTTCCAAATAAATCATACACTGAAGTTGCTCAAAAATAATGATCTATTAATATAATTATCAAATTTAAATTCTTCAATTTTAAACTGTGTACAGTGTTGGTATGTTTAATATAATTTGTAATAATATTATTTCTAACGACAATTTTTTTCGGTGACATATTTCTTTTAATAATTTTTAACATTATTATTGTTTAACTAATTTATTATAGTTAAGGTTTTAAAACGATCGTGTAGAAACGCGATAACGAATATTTCACTAATAAGAATTTCGCGAGAATTTGTTTTGGCGTCATTCGATTTGCAATAAATACGTAGGCCTCTTAAACATGAAATTCAGTCATTTTTGATTGTTAAAGAGATAGAACTCGTTTAATTATGTAAGAATTTTAGTTAAAATATTTAACTATTGATGCACAATAAATTAATATCGTTAATATTGTTATTGACACAATTTCAGACAATAGAAGAGTTTTAAATGGTATTGTCGCAGCTTATTAACTTATAATATTTTTATAATTTATTTGAAAATTCTAAAAATCAATTTGCAGTTAATTCGCAAAATATTGGTACAATTTTTGAAACAATCGAACTCGGGCAATACTAAGCCAACTTTATGGACATTATCGTCCAGAATTTCTCTGCAAATATAAATTAAACATAGACGTTGATAACATAATATATAATTATGATAACTATATGTAGGTAGTAGGTACACAGTAAACGGTAAGAATTCGTACGAGTTATTTATTATTATATTAAATAGTAAATTTCATCTAAATCATAAATAAATAGTATTTGTAATCACTAAAAACTGAAAAAAAATATATCAAAAAATTAAACAAAAATTTATTTTAATTTTAAATTTATTTAATAATAAATACATTAGTTTGAATGATAATAATATTTTTATTTATTATTAATTTCCAACAGATGCGCTTAGCTATTTTTTTTTGAACAAATAGATACTAATAAGAAATGTACTTAGTTTATTCACTGTAATTTTAATTAACTATACTAATATTGTAAATAGATAGGTACTAAAATATTTACCTTTGAAAAATCGCTCTGGCATTCTAGTAACGTAAATTAGAAACGCTAATCCGGAAATTAGGTACATGTTTAAAATTCTTGATAACAATTTCTGAAAAATTAAATAAACAAGATAAGTTATCTTTTTAACAGAATTAAATTATTATTTGTAAGTTTATTATAACAGACGAATGGTCAGTAATTTAATCTTACTGTATGCAATAATGATATAAATAACTTATAAATAGTTAATAATTTATTAGATAAAAGTAACATTTAAATAATTATAATTTTTACACTAGGTGATTTATATTTATAATAATATAATATGAAATTACTTAAAAAGTTTTTATAAGTACACACATGATAACTAAATAACTAATTATTAATTCAATTTTTTAACTAAGTTTAATATTTCTTGATAAGTTCTGTTCAGAGTTTATAAATAAAATGTATTTTATTGATTATTTTCGTAAACTTTAACTTAATAATTTTAAATTTACGTTTATAAAATAATATTTTTTAATAATGAACATTATAGCTACTCATTTAAACCATATTTAAAAGTACATTATAAATAAATAATAAGGTATCTATGTGAGGATAATAATAATTTACAGGAAATCCTGAATATTTAATTACGTTGTCTATATTGAATAAAAAAACTAGTTCCAATTTCATTAGTTCTTTAGCTAGTCCATTCGGTGTTAATATATAATATTACACAATACACATATAAAATAGTATGATACATCAATATGTTTATAATTGAAATTTTTTTTCAATAATGTATAAGTATGTATATTATATAGTTGTTGATACATTTTTTTTATAAATTAAAATGTTTAGTAAAATTATTTATACATGGTGTTCATAAATCATGTTTTAAACTATGATATTAAGAACATATAATTTTTAAGATTAAAAACGTCTAAGTATTTTATAGCAAATATTTAATAATGAATATTCCCTAAACTATAATGAAAATATAAAATAGAATTTTTAACTTGATATAATATGCGTTTGGATATTTCTAAGGGTTAGAATTTAAATGTATTCAAATTTTCTACATAGATGTTTGAACACCATACGTGTTCTAAATAATATGCATTAATGCATTATTAATAAAAGTTTTAATTTTTTTTTTTTCATGAATTATTTATACCATTAACTATGTTGCTGTATGAACAATTGTGTTTGACACAATATACTTTAACAATAAGAAATAAAAATTAATAAGATTCATTAGGAACTTATTTAGGTATGACACGATTATTTATTCATTTCATTTGTTACAAAACCGTAATATTACTTATTAGTATATTTATAAATAATGTAACTTAGATATTTTCAAAATAAATAAGTTATATTAGCGTACTCTTAGTTATAGTATTATTTTGAAAAAAAATGTAATAAAATAAAATATAAATATATAGTTAGTATTAACACAGATCTTAAAAAACTAATCCTGGGCATGTATTTTTTTTAATATTCTTAGTGTGTTATTTAATTTTGAATTATTATTGTTGACAGTATATTATTGTAATACTTACAGCCACTATTGGATTTTCCCATCCACCCATAATGACAACCCAGTGACACGTTGGTATCACTCCGTATGCTGCCCAACACACAAATGAGATCATTTTCAAATTATCACTTGCTTTAAACTTTGGTATTTGTAATGCCATGACAAAAACAAATATAAAGAATACTGTAGACAAGTAAAACATTCGATGTACCTGAAAAATACATAATATACCGCACTGAGTTTTAATAAAATATTTATTTAAAAAATTCACTAAAATATATTAATAATATAGTACTGGAATAAAAATATTCACTTACGGGATGGCACCAAAAAGCATAATAAATTCCTGATAAGTAGATACCCAACAAGCTTAATGCTATGCCGAACAAGTCAAAAGATAAAAAACAGTTGAAATGTTTCTCGGATTTACATGAAAACGTGTGATACATAGTTGATGATGCCATGCTAATCTAAAAATACGATAAAAAATTACATGAGTAAATTATATTAAAATAAAACACATATGATACAAAAGATTATAAAAACAAAAATTTTGTTATTAAGACTATGATCTATAAAATCAGTAACTAAATAATACGAGTACATAAGACTAAAACAGATTTAAAAATATACAGTAAATTAAAAGTTGTGAATTATAAAGATAAAACTATTATAATAATACAATTATTATTGTCTGTCCAATAAAATGAAGTGCATATGAGTGCATCCGTAAGACGTTCCATAAGTGTATCATTTATGTGTAAAATACATAATAAAATAGCCACAGTAGATTTTATACAAGAATACTACTAGTATTTATATATATATAAATATAAATTCAAGCCTTATTGTAATAGACTATAAATTATAGTACGAGTACTTATTTGATTAAAATGAAATAATTAAGTTAAAATTTCAAATTTTTGGGACTTATATAAAATTAATTTTAAAAATTTAAATAAATTCAATAATCATACCGTATTATATATTAAGTATACCAATAAAGAAATATAAGTTTATTAGATATTTAGTTGTGAACAGAGTTAGATAGATAGTTTAGATGACAATTCGAATACATATTTTACAAATAAAAGAATAAAAATTATTAAAAATTATATTTTCTTAAGTAATACTATATATTTATTATTTTATTTAATAAAATATCTGAAAATTACTCATGATTTATTGATTAATAAATACTAGCAATTTCATTATCTCGAATAAAGTTCAATACTACTTTCAGTTACTTTTTGTAAATTGCCTACAAAACAAAAATTAATAATGATATTGAAGATAGGCTAGGAAATTATTCGATATAATAGAATGTTTATTATCAATTACACTTGTGTATAATAAAATATGATACTACAATAAACTAATATGTTAATAATAATTATAAATTTAATAAATATAAAATTTAATATATTTTAAAAGCATCCTTAACCTATGAAATCTACTTCAGGTTGGTCACAGGGTAAAATGATTTCATTAACATCTTGAGATCTATGGGTTGAAGATACCCACTTACTCAATGCATATCCATTCTCGCTTGGACTATTTAAATCGAAAACATACTTTTATAATCGATAATTAATAGTTGGTAATCGAAATTACCCATAATAGTTATCAGTAATCTGAAATAATCAATATGTTGTTATGACCTAATGGTGATCATGAAAATAGTTAGAGATAACCAACAAGTACCAAATGACTTTTTATTCAAAAAATAATGTTAAATTTTATTAAAATAACAATTATAAAGAATTCTTTGAATTTAAATAATTAATTGGATAACGTTTTATACAAATAATACTCTTCTCTAGTTGTAAATACCTGAAAACATCCAAGTAGTAGACCCACGACAAGTTTATCAAACGGTGAAGCGTGAATATTTAACAATAGCAAGTCATAAATTGTTAAACCGAAAAACAGCATCCAGCCAAATACATGTGACCAAATATTTATAGTTTCATTGGTCATCCAAAAAGCACTAAAACAAAAAGGTAACATCTTCCAATTAGTCATTATTTTTTTAAATTATCCATGTAAATAATAAAATGTAAATTAAATTGATGATAAATTTTAAAATTTATCCTTGTATGCACGTTAATGCATTATTATAACTTATATAACTATATATTTTATTTTAGTATGGATGACTATGTTTTTTCTATGATAGTTAAGCAGCTAATAGATTTTTTTTTTTGCAACTTTATGATTACAACTAAATTATTAATTGTAGAATTCGTAGCCTAAAGGAGCATCGTCATTTAAAATGACACGACTTTACGAAGGTCATTGACATTTTTTATTGACAATTTCAATGATCTGTACATTTTCAAAAATTACATTGAAGGTTAGATTATATTTCAATCGAATATATATTTAATAATAAACCATACATTAATATATCTTTATCGAAAAAAGTTGGTAAATATAATTGTATTAGTATTTTTTTATTATTTTAAATTATTTGAACTAAACGCCTAATGAATGTTTACAAGTTTATAAATCCTTAAAGTCCAAGGACTTTTAATACATCCAAGTATAGAAAAAATATTTATTTTTTTTTAAATTTTTATAATACCCTATAGTAAACTCCTACTTAGTTTAAACAAAATTAACCTGGTGGCAAAAAAAAAATGAGTCTTTTATAATATCAATATACTATTTTTATTTTGTGTAATCCAATCAATGACATAAAAAATGTTTAAATTGATTACATATTTTTATTGCAATATGATTGTACACAATATAATATGTTTATATAATCACTCATAATTAATATTATCTGAAAGTAATCATATATTTCTGATGTATAAAATACAGAATGAATATTTCATCATCATACCTCTCTATGCACATTTTTGTCGATAGACTCGCTCTATAGCCGGATGTAATGTATGGATTAGATTGTAAATGCGGTTCAACTTCATGGAACTGCAATAATGATAATTCTTTTGGGCTTCTCGATAACAACGAATCTTTTGATTTCTTTAGAAATTCTTTATGGTCCTAAAAAAAAAAAAAAATACTTAATAAAATTGTTGTAGTATTTTTATGAACAATACATTTTCATATTAACTCATATAATCATTTAAAGAGGTGGATAGCTACAAATTTAAAAGATATTAAAATATTAATAGATAATATCAGAATAAAAGAATATTTATTTTTCACTATCGTACTTTAATATAATGTAATTTTATAAATTGTTATTATTTTTTATCATTAAATTATAAATTGTTAATATTATATTATGTATAATAAGTCTATATCTAATGTTTAACAATACTAAATGTTCATGTGAATAACCGATGGAACTAATGTATTAGTGCATAATTTTTAGTTCGTTAATAAGCTATTTCAAATTTGAATGCATCAATAATTAGATTTTAATATGTATAAAACGTGTACGTTGTACATTTTATTAATTGTAGTAATATTTAATGAAATATAGGTATTTTAGTTTATAATTCAATGTAATAATATAATAAACCTGTTTAAGTTGTACGCAAATTATTTTTTACTTGTAGTAGATACCTCTTTAGACTTTTCATAATTATTAAATGTTATCTTACAAGCTATATAATAATAAAATTGTAATTTATAATTAATGCAAAAGTTTTTTTCCGTATAATTAGGATTAATTTAGTCTGTTATTGTATCTGATAAAGAAATAATTAAAGAAACACTTATTATATCAAAAGCTATTATATTTTTTATTTCTTTTTTTTTTAACAATTATTGTTTGGAAATGAATTTTAGTTATCTTTGTAAAAAAAAATATACGTAAAAAGTATATTTTAAAATACCATTTTATTATAAGAAAAAAAATAGCAATAATATTAATGTTTATAGTATTTAAATGAACGATTGGCAAAGAATAAAGATAACTAGGACACAATAACACTTTAACGTACAAAATTGTTTGCTTGTATGAAGAACAATTTGTTTATATAACTTTGAAATCCAATTATAAATTAATACACAAGTACATAAAAGACATTCAATAGCTACAGATGTATTAGACTTATATTATATTGGTGCAATGCCATAAAATATTATTCTTCGTTTAAAATATCTGTTTCGAATTTAAGAAAATGCGATTATTGCTGTATTTTTTTTACTGGAGTTATATTATTAGAAGTGACATTTATTTTTGGTTTAGGTATGTATAATGCCTAGATATATGAATAAATAATCTATAGGCAAAACAAGCTTTTAATTTAACTTTTAATAATATGTAAAAAAATTAGATACTTAATAATTTATGGTTTCTTAAAATATTATGGGTTACAATTTAAAACTATATTTTATCATTTGATATGTTTATGTACAAATAAACTAAAGTTTATTTCATATTATTGATTTCAGAATAAATGTCTGGAAACAAAAATAGCGTCCCATCACAGCTGACTCACGATATTGTTTATTTGTTTAAATAATCAGTGCATTTTTAACATTGATACATTTTTTTATCGGCTTGTTTCAGATATGTACCCAAAATTTAACTGGCAATATTCGGAGTTGACTTAATAATCACCCAATCGCGTACTTATACTCTCCTTTCATCGTTTGTATTAATTATATTTTTAATTTTTGGAATTTTCAAGTGAGTACCATATTTAAGACCATCATATTATTTTAAAATATTGAGATTTATATGTACATACAGTACATGCATATCATCACGGACATTTCAAAGAGACATGTTGCTGATCACAAAATTAGCAAACAAGGAAATAATTATCTCGTGTAAGTTTTTAACACTTTTACGATACTTTAAAAAAAAAAAATAAAAATATATTATAGTACTTGAACTTGACAAGAGTGATAATTTTACAATCGTCACAGTCAAAGACCATGTAGCAACAACAGCACCAAGAGCAGTGTTTGTATTTCGCATTAATCGTACGCTGTATTTTGTATGGCGCGAACACGTCGAAATAGCACAAGGTGTTTAAAATTCTCCGGTCATTTCCGTGTGTATAATATATAATAATATATACTCCTAATATTGTTATTGTTATAATATATGGTATTGTAGCTACGTCGTCTGGCGTAAGGTCGCACGCATAGTATCACGCAAACTCGTTAATTTAATTTTTCGCGAATATTCCCAACTATATTATGATACATGTACACATCGTATCTATGTGTTAGACTACACCTATTCCACATCATAGTATTTCTACTTACTATAGAAGAGGTCTGCACGGACTAAAAATTTTCAGTTCGGTTCGGCTTTTTTTTTTTTTTTACAACTTGAATAGACCTAGAAACAATTTGTAATAAATAAGCAACAGCCCCGTTTTATTTAAATATTCTGATCCGGCTGGGGTAAAATTTTTATTTAAGTAAGCCCGATACGGTGGAGTTCATACATTCCTCTAATATATTTACCGATGTATACATTTTTAACCAAAACCTAGCTCAACCTTGAAATGGCGATTTAATATATATTATTCAAAAAAGGTAAATCCTGCTAAAACTTATAATTTCTCATAGAAATCTGGCCCAAATGTGATTATCAAATAAAAATTTCAGCCCAGTCCGACTTGAATTTAGGAAAAGTTCGATTCTGCCTGGCACATCACTTTTATACACAAAACTAGCCAATGAAGGTATTTAAATTATCGACACCTGCTTTTATACTAATATGATATACGGGTCAAGAAAAGATTAGGTTAATGTGACCAAACGATATGCGTGTCGTTATCGGCGGAAACCGTTTTTACAATTGGCAGACGGATAGCCTCATCGTTTTTACAGTAACTTGGGTTTACTTTTTAATTTATTTTATTGATACAAAAAATGTTATACAGTACATAGGTAATCACAAACGTATATTGTATAATTTATTATCATAAATATAAATGTTGTAAATGTAGTTGCAACGGTTAGGTATATTATATTATAGAAGACAATATTGAACATTTTTAATAGAAAATAACTCCAACACACAACGGTTCAGGAAGACGTCTTACTATATAATGTTAAATGTATGTAACACTATTATGTGTTGCGCAGTACGTGAAAAATATGCGTACCAGTTTGAACGAGTAACTAATATAGTAATTATTATGTTGGTGTATCTGTAAGTATTTAATGGAACAGTAAATAACTAGTAAACACTGCGAATAAAATTGCATCGTAAATGTAACATTCGACAGATAAGCAAGAGAGGTGGATGATCTTTAAAACATAATTTACTTTCATTACATTATATTTATTTTGCAATACATCGGTTTAAATTTAAAAGATATCATGTTTTAATTAATGTGCGATTTTAACAAAAACAATTAAGTATCATAAATCATAATATTATTAACATTCTTTGGTCCCCTGTAAATAACATACAAGTTTATTTTTATTCGCTATAGCACCACTATGCGCCGAGAGGGTCCCACCAAATTGCCTGTAATTTATATATTATCTATATAGTAACTTATTGTAGGTATTAAAATACAGATATAATTTTGCAAATTCGTTATTTTTGCTTCATAAAGTTTGTTCAACTGTCCATAATAAAAAACAATTAGAAGTCGTATAATAAAAAAAATAATAATTATCACACCTTATAGTTAATCCGTCTTCGGCTCGGTATAGTGCGTCGTAGCCTAACCCTATTCGGAGAACCGGGAAAAGACGTACGTAATATTATAGAATATCGTTATTACAGTAATGCATGATACGTCTTAGTCGAAAGAATTCTCAACTGGAACGAATAGTATCTGCGATTTTTTTTTTTTTTTTTTTATCGCTATATCTCATTAGTATTAATTATCTACTGCAATAACTATTGCGACATCATCTCTAAATAACATCTTTCTGTTAGCGTACGCATGTAATGTTATTATTGACGTACGTTTGTTATGTCTATACGGCGATGTTCACTATAAAATATACCATAATATACGCACACAAGTGTTTACAATGTTTAGATTAGCGGACGGAGAGCGTTTACAAAACTACGAAAAAAAATTCTCTCTTCTTCATTTGTTTGTACATATATATATATATGTATGTATGTATGTACAGGAAACGTGCAGTATACGCGGAAAACCATAAATTTGGATACTTTTAGTTTTATATATATACAATAATTGACCTTCCAATCCTACGCATCAGCCGTACTACAGAATTAATTTTATTTTATATACATAGAGAAATTTACAATAAGAGAATATGTGTTATTAAATTATTTCATGAAAAAACGCGTGAGAAAAAATTACCCAATAATAACGCTATCTTTTGTTTGCATTTATTTATTTATAAAGAATATATCTAAAAAAAAATTTAAAAATATTTAAATTCTGTACAAAAACACGACTGACCTGCTATGTTATGCTGAAAAATCAGTTGCTGGGTAAAGACTGATAATTATAATGTTACACTGTTATATAACGGATAAGTGGATACAGAAAAATTACAATATATTTTTAACACCATAGGTGCAATTTTATAAAATTATAGTTGCAATAAAAATGAATGGTTACTAGCTTTATTACGCATAGAAAGTATCGTTTTTATAACACTAATCGCTATACTATTATACTTGCATAATCGTACACAATTTTCATATTTCTTCAAAATAATGCAACCGGCAATTAATTATTTTCTATAGTTAATATAATTACTGTAGCTGTTATAATTGTTCAAAATACATTTATAGGTACATTAAAGGAATAATATATACAATATAATATAGGTTCATATATACTTAAATCAATTTAAAATAAAGGATAATATTCTAGCAGTTTATTAACCAGCTGACTGATAACACTTCATGCTGGAAAAATGTGCCTAAACTTTCGACCACTAAACACAAAATGCTTCAGATGCGATAGTGCAGCAATCTTCTACTTTGAGCATGGCCTAAAAATTTAAAATCGTCCAAAGCCAAAATCTCGATTATGGTAGGTGTTATTAGATATTACTTGTTGTTATATTTAATCCCCTTTAAGGTTATATCGAACTACAATGTTCAACTTAGGGTAATGAAAAAAAAA